AAAAAAAAAAAAAAGACTCTACTTCACAGCACACCAAAAGAAAAAAAAGAGAAAGAGATAAACTTAATGAAGTCAAAAAAATTCACAAGCCTTATAGTTTTGGGCTATACTAAAAGTCACCACTTTCAACAAAATAGTTCAAACAATTATCTTCTGGGGCGCCTGGGTGGCGCAGTCGGTTAAGCGTCCGACTTCAACCAGGTCACGATCTCACGGTCCGTGAGTTCGAGCCCCGCGTCGGGCTCTGGGCTGATGGCTCAGAGCCTGGAGCCTGTTTCCGATTCTGTGTCTCCCTCTCTCGCTGCCCCTCGCCCGTTCATGCTCTGTCTCTCTCTGTCCCAAAAATAAATAAACGTTGAAAAAAAAAAAAATTAAAAAAAAAAAAAACAAAAAAAACAATTATCTTCTAATGGAATGACCGGGAACCAATTTTTAAAATATGACTAAATGTTTAAAATCTACTAACACAAATTTATTATAAACTTTGACCAAAGCTAATATTAAGGTTTCAGTTACTTTTCATTCACATTCTTAAAGTATATTAACTATACAAAAAGATACAATATATACATTATAAATATCTATTACAAATGTTATATATACTATATACAAATAAAGTATATATATAATATATATGTAATTATGCATATTATCTAACACTTAAATAGACCTAACCTTTTTTCATTCATGTAATATATACTGCATGCCCACTAGATTAAAAAACAACAACTCAATATTGCACTGCCTTCTGAGACATAATTCCTCCGGTAAGGAAATTCAGAGATAAAATAAATATCCTATTTATCTAAATAGATAAATCTAAAACACATTCCTGCTTTCTTGAGATTTGGTAGTAATGAACACAAGAGCTCTTTGAAATAGGTAAAGAGTGAAGGAAGTTTAAATCATACTAACAGACACCGGAAAACAAAGGCAAAAGAAATAGATATTTGCATTAAGCCCTAGGTCACCTTCAAAATAAAATGCAGCAATCCTACTCACTCTATTAAGTCACTCACTACACTGTAACTATTATGCCTACTTATTTAAACAAGACCCAGAAAGATTAAAACTCACAGAATTTTTTAGCCTTATATTTGAATTTCAAACCTACTGCCCACTAGCTGATGATACCTGGGGACAAGGTACTTAAAAGGCCTACTTTCAACGTACAACAGAAACAGCATTACAGCCTCGAGTTATCATAAGGACTCAACAAATGAGTAACCATTACCTTCTGAACCAGGATTTCTCTGTCATTTTAACCCATAACCTCTTTTAGTAAGCATCAAACCATCTTCCCTATTTTGTACTAGAAAATTAAAGTGAATTTCCACCCAGGTGAAAGTGTTTTTTCCAATTTCACACCATCCTACCTAAATCCACTGCCTCCCTACTCCTAATTCTCTTGAACAGCCAGTGCCGCGGATCTTTTTAATCTCTCCAGATAGGAAAACTAAAGGTTAACCAGATAGATTATGTGACTTTACCAAGGTCATACTATTTCATTGTATCTTAAAAATATAAGGCTGCACATAAAACCGCCTGATGTTTGTAGATTCTTTTAAATCTACTTGCTCATTAGGTTAAATAAATAAATAAATAAATCTACTTATTCATAAGCATGGGAGGAAAAAACTACACAAAGTTACTCTGAAGTATTTACCTTTCTACATGCAGGACAAAGCCCATTTTCATCAGTGCGAATTCGATGCCAACAAAATCGGCAAATCTGATAGCCACAGGTGCAAGGGAAAAAGTTGATATCATCTATCTCCAAGGGCTCCATGCAAAGAGGACATTCCACAGGGTCTTCCTTCGCATCAGGACTGCGAGACATCTTCACGATTATTGAACAGCAGCAAAAGTTTATAATAACTTAAGGGAGAAGGAAGTTCAGCACTGAGAACTAAACTGTAGAACTTCAAAGACCTGCATGACAAGAAACAAAACATACTGTTTACTACTGAAAATGGCATTTCAAGCATCAGGAATCATATTATCAAAAAATTTGGAAAATATTAAATTCTGCTATCATCTCAGAAGAGATTTCAGAATGGAATTCTGAAATTTTTTTTTTTTTTGAAGGTCAAAATAAAGTCTAGCATTATTCACCTTTTGGATTCAATATAAAAACAAAAGAACTTTCTTTTTTCTACATCTAGTACTAAATCACAGCACATTTTAGGGGAATAAATAATACACATCCTTAAAATACACTTTAAACAGTCTTTGACCTAAAAGTTAATAACACTGCCAACATAACCGAAGGAGTATTATAGTATTCTAAAATGTGTCAGAAAATAACTATGTTTACAAAATAAACATAAAGAAACAGAAAAGGTTTCAGTCATCTATAATTACATGTTAATATCAAACCTTTACCACAGAAAACAAAGACCTGAAACATACGCCAAAGAACCCAATGTATACAACCAAATATGTATATTATGTCAATGAAAATTTCTGGTAAAATAAGCACATAAAAAGCATTTCTATGGTAATGCTACAAAATCGTACAAAAAACAGGAAGGGGAAAAGAACCAAATAGATTCCGTATTCCAAAGTCTTTTAAAAAATTAAATAATTTTTAGGGGTGCCTGGGTGGCTCAGTCAGTTAAGTGTCCAACTTCAGCTCGGGTCATGATCTCGTGGTTCATGAGGTCGAGCTCAATTCGGGCTCTGTGCTGACTGCTCAGAGCCTGGAGCCTGCTTTGGATTCTGTGTCTCCCTGTTTCTCTGCCTCTCCCTTGCTCATCCTCTGTCTCTCTCTCTCTGTCTCAAAAATAAATAAAAACATTAAAAAAAAAAAACACTAAAAAAAATTAAATGATTTTATATTTAAAAAATAAAAAAATAAACTGAGATACTCTATAAATAGTGGGTTTCAATGTGGGTTTTCTACATACCATAAAATTTCAGAATATTAAAAACCATAACATCTGAAGGGCATTTTAGAAAATGATTTGGTAATTTTTCTAAGATGTATTCCTGACAATGCCTGTGACTTCAAATTATCTCTGCATCTAGAAAAGAATATTTCAAGTGTTCCTTTTGACATGAAAGTCTTTTCTCCAAGGCTAACCCTGTAAATAAAGTCATTTTTAGAAAGGAAAAATAAAAAATGAATAAAAATTAAATAACTTATTGGGGTGCCTGGGTGGCTCAGTCAGATGACTCTTGGTTTACACTCGGGTCATGATCTCACAGTTTGTGGGTGTGAGCCCTACAATGGGCTCCAGACTGCTTGGGATTCTCTCTCTCTTCCCCTCTCTCTGCCCCTCCCATCTCTCTCTAAGTAAATAAATAAACTTAAAGAAAAAAAGAATTACTAAAATTAATTTATCTCTTTAGATTATGGACAATTGAAAATACCTGGGTAATAATCTAGGTTAAAGTCAATGGTAAATTAAAACATTAGGTTGAAATCGCTATTTTTAACAGTATGCAAAATAGAAGTCAATGCCATCTTTATCAAAATAACTCAGGTTTGTTTTTTTTTTTTAAACATAATTCAACAAACTGATTCTAAAGTTTACACATGAAAGAGTAAATGCATACAAATTGCTTTGAAACTTCTGGGGGCAAATGAGGGAATTTGTGCTGTCAGATACTGAACTGACTACAAAGGAAAAGTAATTTTAAAATATGATACGGAAAAAAAATAAAATTTTGATATGGGAACAAATACAGACAAAAAAATCAATGAACCTAAATAAAGACTCTAGAAACAGAACCATGAATTTATGAGATTTTAATATTTGGTAAAAGTGACAGTACACATCAATATAGCAAGGAGAGACCAGTTTAAAAAGCAATAATAAAATTCTGCTTTATCTATTTTAAGGAAAAAAATGGTATATATCTACTCTATTATCAAACCCGAATCATCTGTATAAAGATCCATACATTGAAATAAACAGACTAAAGTATAAGAAAAAAAATAGAATTTTTAAAAGTCTTGTGATACAGAAGATCTTCCTAAGCGAAAACAATAATTCAGAAGCCTTAAAAGATAGATTTAGCAATGTAGAAAGAAAACAAAAAAAATGAAAGGTAAGCAACAGAGTAAAGGATATATTCACTACATATAATGAAGTGTTAGAGTCCAAAATATTTCCAATTTTAAAAAGGCAATTAAGTCAAACAAAATAACGAGAACAGAAGATGATGAGTAATTCACAGAATTACAAATTAATTACAACATATGAAAAGATGATCAATCTCTTTAGTTAGTAAATAGGGAGACGACATTTTCCCCCCATCAACCTATCAAAGAAGACAGTCTCCTCAGAAAGTAAAGATTATCACTGATCTAAATTCTTTGCAGAGGAAATGAGAGCACAAAGAGTCCCTTGCCTTAAGCTGCACAGCTATTAAGTGGCGCAACCTAGATTTATTCCAGGAAGTCTTAGCCCCAGAATCCGTACTGTTAACCATGCCTTCACACCACCTTAGAATCTATCCTACAGAAAGATTTGCACCTGTGCACCTAAGTACTTTGCTCTGTGATTTGCAGCTGTTCCTAGAGAACTGCAAAGTAACAGTCCATCAGCTGGGAAATCATTAACTAAATAATGATATCGCCATAAACTGAATATATCAAACCAGAAGCTATTACATACACTTTTGAGTTTTTAATTTGTAAAAGCAAGCTGGAGACTAACCAACACAAATTTACAATTACTTCGATATAAATATGTAAATCCTGTATGTGTATATATTTGATGTTTCTCTAAGAAAATAAAGCACATAAAAGATTTTACACAAAAGTGTTACCATGTCAAAAAAGACAAAATGGAGGTAAGCAGGAGAGTTTTTTTCTGAAATTAATTTTATTTTCAAAATTTTATTTTAGAAAAACCTATATTATCTGATTTGTTACAAAATATTTTTGCATTTCAAACACAAACCTTAAAAAAAAAAGGAAATTACTTTCATCACCTTTTGAAAAATTAAGTTAAATCTGTCTTTTAATAATTAGAAGGAAAAAAATGAAATACTTTCCTATCATTCTATATTTTAAAATAAAAGTTTTTTTTTTTTTTTTAAAGAATACGTATTTATAAACAATTCAGGAATCCTGGTTTGCAAGAGCCAATTGTGTCACTATCAGTTTCTTCATATAGAAAATGGGGTTTAGAACTAATTTCTAACAGCTCCTCCAACTTGAATGTTCCAAACTGTACCTGTAGAAAACACACACTCAAACACTGGTTTCACCAACAGGAAACTAATCAAGGGGTGCTATCTACACTTCTAATGTACTTCTGACGACAGGACATTACTTTCATAACAATAGCTTACTCAAGTTTTAGTGGAGTAATTTATGGGATGCTGGGAAGGAAAACAATACACTGGGATTTATGAATTGAAAAGCTTTCTAGAGTAAATTACCATAAATAAAACAGGACATACTGAAGTTTGCTTTTTGATTGCTTCTGTTTCATAAAAAATTTTTAAAAGTCTGCGACAGTATGTATCTTCCAGTTTAGAGGAAAAGGGACAAAACAGCAAGAAGTCCCTTAAGATGATTAATACAAGTGCAAGTGCATTTTATACACTTCTAGTACCATGGAGATGTGCCCAAGTAATCATATAAATGGTGAAATCTAAGAGGGAAGGCTAATGTGGTAGAACGTTGGAATATAAGGTAAAAGAACAGATTTCTGCCTCATCCCTTCCACTAAATAGCTATATAATCTTGGATAAGACACTCAAAAGCTGTAGGATTCAATTTTTTCATCTGAAAAATGCTGACATGCAAAATTAAATGAAATTTCAAGTATAGAGAAATTTCTGTTAAACCCACTGAACTAAGCTTTAAAATTTTTTTGAATGTTTATTTTCAAGAGAGAGAGACAGAGACAGAGACAGAGACAGAGTGAGTGAGCAGGGGTAGGGGAGGCGCAGAGAGAGGAAGAGACACAGAACTCTAAGTGGGCTCCAGGATGTGCTGTCAGCACAGAGCCCAACCTGGGGCTCGAAATCACGAACTGCGAGATCATGAGCTGAACCGAAGTTGGAAGTTTAACCGACAGAGCCACCAAGGCGCCCTGAACCAAGCTTTTAAAATAAGCTTTGCAATAAACTCTCTCCCCTCCAAACACTTTAGCCAAATTTTCATTTAGGGAAAAATAATTTTATTTCATAAGCCAGTCAATTAATATTAAAATAAAAATAAAACAAAACAAGGGGTGCCTCGGTGGCTCAGTTGGTAAGTGTTCAACTCTTGATTTCAGCTCAGGTCATGATCTCAAGGTCTGTGAGTTTAAGACCCACATCAGGCTCTGTGCTGACAAGTGTGGAGCCTACTTGGGATTCTCTCTCTTCCTCCTTTGTCTGTCCGTCCTGCACATGTGTGCACACTCTCTATCTCAAAACAAATTTAAAAAATTAAAAAAAAAAAGAATGCCCTTTCTAAAATAAAATAAAATAAAATAAAATAAAATAAAATAAAATAAAGCACAATTAGATTATAAAGGGATAAGAGGTAGAAAGAAAAGATATTTTTAAATGAAAAAGGAAAGTCAATGACTTCCTAAATGAGGTGTGGGGGTTCTTAGGACAAAAGTGATTTGGTTTTGATTCAGTAACTAATTGTGCAAAAAAAAAAAAAAAAAAAAAAAAAGTACATTTTCACATACACCATGTAAAATTCACAGTGACTTGGTAAGAATACATTACCCCCCCTCTATATATGAAACTGAGGCTAAGTGGTGACCCTGGATATAAGTGCTAAACATACAAATCAAAAGTAAGATCCCCATCTTCAGAACCCATGCCCTTTCCAACATGGTTAAGGCAGAAATTATGATCAATGAAGCCACAGCTGCTTAT